GTAATTGGATGTTGTTAAATTATATATATTATTTCAAGGAAATATACTCCAAAAATATGATTAATAGTACATCATCTTGGGCTACTTGAGTTAATTATGCAGCAATATTACCTTTTTCAATAATTGCTCGGATTTATCATAACTTAATATTTTTCAAATTCTGTAAATTGGGAAAATGTTTCATTTCTGTTCATTTTGATATCGGAAACAAAACTCGATAAAGCCAATGTTAAACTGACAGTATTGTATAACATTAATATTACAAATTACAAACAACACAAGGAGTTTCGGAAAGGAAAACATATGTGGAATACGATAAAGAACCAGGAAGGAGGAAATTATTAATTCTGATATGAAAAGCTTTAGGCTGTTGGAGGTCATTTATACATTTGAAAGCTTCAAACATTTCAAAGGTTCTAAAATCTGGAATACATATATTTTAGCTGAAATACTTCTGACTCAATGTTAAACAATTATCAATCAATCAAATTGATTGAATAATCAGATCATCGGTTGATGGAAACGATTTTATAGGTTTAATCTTTTCTGGTCCATTGCATTTTGAGCAGCTTGTTTATCACGATTAAATCTTGATATATATATTAATCAAACATATCGTATAAATATACATCATCATTTAACTGGACTAATTTTCTGCAAGGGTTGACTTCATTTGCCCGATAGTGTCTGAATCTCCCATTACGAGGTAAAGTCGATTTTGAGTGTTTATCAACTCTATGCAGGTTATACAATTTGGCTACCAAATCAAAAAACTAAAACTATTTCAACCACTTATTCAGTTTGGAGAGCAATACTTTTTGGTGGATAAAAAAATCCCAATTTGTTAGCAATAATAAGTTTCTCTGATGACCTACCCTCTGGGTCCAATTTAAAAAAAAAGATCTTTCAAGAGGGTTTTTTTCCTTCAAATTTACATTGATAAACCTTCTTGTAAAAATGGGTAAAATAGTAAAATTTGAATGTTTTTTTATTTTTTTATTTTTACGAAAATCAAGATTGCACGGAAACAATTAATGAAAGGTTTAACTACTTCATAATTTTTCAACAACTTTTCTTTTTCTTTCGGGCTATTTCTTCCGGCTTGATTTCTTTTTCAAAATTGCACAGAAAGATTTAATTTGAAAAATGTTAATAAATCCCCTGTATATAATTTCTGACGGTCTGTTTGCAATTTATCTTTCTTTTCAGTTGTCAGTCTGTTTCCTCCATTTTCAATATATTCTATGCTGAATTTCTTCCTTGTTTTAGTCTTTTTTTCACTTTTTGTAAAGTTTTAATTGAAATCGCAATGAATAATAAAAAACAAATTCGTGTATATCTCGTATCAAGCATACATTAATTAATTAAACACTGTGTTTCTTTTGCTTGTTGATTTAAACGCTTCCTTTGCTGCCTGTATATTTCATGCTATTTTATAATTTGGTCAATGCTACCGGAAATAGAAAATTGAATTTCAGCATTGCCATTTAAATACAAATTCTTCACATGATTTTTTGATCATAATACCTCACAATGTATAAATAATATCTTTTTATCTAACCAGGGTTATACAATTAGCAATCAGATAGTTTTCAATGCGGTCCTGCATTAAAACATATTTACAGTGGTAAATATGAGCGTTTCAAATTATTATCCTAATATACGAGGGGTTATCAAAAAGTTCGTGGACTAGCGCCATAAAATTAAAACCGCTTAAGGTACATCTATGAATTTTGAAATATATAGTTAGCATAATCTTTTCTATCAAAAGAATAAATCACAAATCTTGATTTTTATTTTTTGATAAATTAGTAAGGATTTTGTAGGCAATGGTATGTCCAGGCGGCGCAACCTCGAAAACGACGTTTTTTCGACCTATGTGTAACTGAGAAAAACTCATTTGACATGATTATTTGACATCCAATAATTCCGTTAATTCAGGTATGTGTCGGAACACAATTGTTTTATAAAATATGAAATTTTCACTTCATTCTGGAAGTTCTATGAAATTTTATCGTAAATTTTACACGGAATGTCCAAACAAATGAGGCCTTGAAAATGACGTCAAAAGGGGGGAGGGGTTTCCGTTTCCAACATTCTATAAAGTTTTGACCCTGAAAAAATAGTATAGACCTAAAATATGTTGAAACTGGCTACAGAGAAATAAAATGCATCCAAAGTACTTGTCTTTTAATGTCAAAATAGATTCAGAGAAAAAAGGAATACACAGTTAATGTCGATTTGCAGTCAAAGTGGGAAAAATCAATCCCGTCAAAAATGACGTTGATCATGTGTTGTAGATATTGAAATCCCAAAAGCAAAATATTCCGGCACAATCAAGCGCGCATCTCTCCCAATGTATTAATCCATCTGAAATGTTATATTCATTGAAGGCCACAATTCATGACATTGTAAAGTCATATAAACAAGGCGGGTTAAAGTCCTAGCTCAGCTCCAGGAAATCTCATCAAAAAAGTGTATGAGGTATAAGAAGAGGACATTGAAAAACAATGACGTTGTCAGACAACATGAAAGTAAAAGGTGACGACGCCAGGTGATCATATAATGTTGTTTTCATTTTATAATAATTTGGCAAATAATGAACATATCAGGCTAAATTTTTCAACATTTCTTTAGTTTGTGTTGCTTTATGTTCCATATCAATTTTGAAAGCGCAGACTACATAGTACTAGTTTTATAGCCTCAGTCCACGAACTTTTTGATAACCCCTCGTAAAACAAGATGTAAGAGTGCAATCTCGTGACATGCATAATCATTATATAGTCTCTACAATACTCTCATAAAAGTGGCACACATGATGAATTGGGAAAAAAAAATTTAGTTTAGGCACTGACTCTTTCAAAATATCAATAAGATACAACGACTTTTAAAAAAATCTACAAATTTGGTTTTCTACTATTTTCTCATGGATTGTTCAAAAGAATTGCAGATGAGTAGCTATATGAACGTCTGTAATTTCCTGTTTTGACTCGTTGTTAATATAAGTTTGACATACAATTATTCGACCTGGTTTGACGAAAACTGACGTCTCTTGTAAATTGAAACACAATAAGATACGAGGGAGGATCAAAATTTGATTATTTAAAATTTAAAGTAGAAAAATTACTTGTCTAAACATAAAATAGCCATTGAATGGCATCCGGTTTTAGCATGGACATAAAAAGCTGGTAGAAGTTAAAATTTCTCGAATATTTAAGAATATCCTAGCTACCCTCTTTTGAAGGTTGAAAATATTTTCAGAATTTATTTGATTTTCAATATTATACCAAACAATCTAACAAAAATTAAAATGAGGAAATAAAATACCACATGCTTAAAAAGCCTTAAGGTATTTTCCATATAAACGATAGCCAGTTTCACAAATTCAGTCTGTTCACCACTACAATTTATATTAAATCTATTGAATACCTAACTCGATATCTTCCTGAACGTCCTATAACATCTCCCTTGCAGTTCATGGTTTGAACATAGTTTAATCTTCATCTTGAGAATGCTTCCATATCAATATTATTAACACAGCTTTTCTTTTTTGTTAAATATTTATTCCTACTTCTACATGTATATTCTTAATACGTAAAATTTGTTATACGTTCTAAAATACATGTAACAATGAAAACTAGACACATTTACGAACACATATACTAATTAGCATAATTAGTACTTTTGATCAACCACAATCATGCCATATTAAGAATATACAAGAGGCCCATGGGTCTTACAGGTCACCTGAGCATTATGCAACAACTTTCCAGTGATTGAATTTGATTCATGTTTTAAGCCAGATGCTATGGCATTCACAGTTTTGAAAGAGGCACCGTTAATCATCATAACTATATACTTAGCAGTTGCTTAGTTACTTAATACCCATAGGCAGGGTAGGGGAACAAAAATTGCATTTCAACTAATCAGTAATATTCAGCAATAATCAGTAGTGCCCCTACCACACATGAACCCCTGACCCTTAGGCCTAGATCCACACATTGCACAATTTTTGAAAAGGCATCCTTGCTTTTCAAAAATATTTGATTAATACCAAGGAGCAGGTTTAAAAAAATTCATTCATTTTCAGTATATGAGTACAGCCTCCACCCTCTATGGTACCCCGGACCCTGGGGCCTTGAAATTCACAATTCTGGAGGATTAGGGCCCTTGTTCATCATAACTATATAGGTAGTTCATCGGCTTAATACCCAGGAGCAGAGAAGAAATTTTTCAAAGATTTAAAGTATTTTCACTATATAATCAATAGAGCCCCACCCTAACACCAGAACCTCTGACCCTGGGGCCATAAAGTTCACAATTTTGGTAGAGGCACTCTTGCTCATCACGAATATGCACTTAGTTAGTTTATTTAATACCTAGGAGCAGAGAAGAAGATTTTCAAAGAATTCATGTATTTTCAACATATAATCAATAGAGCCCCGCCCTAACACCAGAACCCCTGACCCTGGGGCCATAAAATTCACAATTTTGGTAGAGGCACTCTTGCTCATCATAACTATGCACTTAGTTAGTCTATTTGATACCCAGGAACAGAGAAGAAGATTTTCAAAGAAATAATGCATTTTCACTGTATACTTATTTAGCCCCGCCCTAGCACTAAAACCCCTGACCCCAGGGTCATGAATTTCACAATTTTGGTAGAGTACTCAATGCTAATTACAATCATGCAAACAGTTTGACTGCTTGATGTCCAGGAATAAAGAAGAAGATTTTCAAAGATTGCATTAATTTTAGTGGTTTTTGCCCCATCCCTCAGGCCCCAGGGGGGGGGGGGCAATGATCATGGAATTCACAATTTTTGTTCCCCTTCACCCATAGATGCTTTGTGCTAAATTTGGTTGAAATTGGTTCAGCGGTTGCATAGAAGCTGAAAATGTTCAAATGTTAACGCACGACGACGGACGAAAACGGATAGCAACAGACCTAATAAAAAATGCAATTCAAAAAGCACGGTTTATTTAAGAATAATACCCACTTAGTATGTCACACTCACTCACTCGGTCGTCCACGACCTAAAATACCTATGTAAATTAATAATATTATAAGGAGTTCAATATTTACCTGAAACGTATGTTCATAGATAACCATGAATCTTCATATACGTGACATAAGATAAATAATGTTATTTCTCTTCAAAATATGCATACAAAATATTAATCATATTATAAAAAGTATTTTACATGAAAATTCTTTCTTAAATCAGTAATAAAATAATTGTGTTCAATTGTATCTCTTCATTATACCGGTGCAGCACAAAATATAATGATTTCCCTACATGTTGGAATACATATCTGGAAATAAAGAAAAGAAAATGTCATTTATTTACACTTACATTTAGGGGTTACTGGAAACAGTGTCATTATTTGACACGATTAATTATATCATAATCTTTATTAATAAACAAAATGAATGAATAAGCATTATAAAAATAACCTGTATGTGTGTAATTAATCGATGAGGTTTATTATCTTGTATGAATTTTTTTTTTATATCTAAAATTCATATTGATATTTACAGATTGTAAAAAGTGTTAATACACTCCCCCCCCCCCCCCCACACACACACTACACGTTTAACTAGTCGGTGACGTCACACATAATATATCATAAGTTCTGGAGGATGAAGTACACTTGATAACTCGGTAATCCTTATCAAATGTTTATTTCATGTTTTTAAAAACTGTTGATTGTCAGCCTATGTTTACAATGTACTTCGTCGGTTTATTTAAATTTATATATCTTATATCGATTGCTTAGGTTTTTTTGTGCCAATTGTGATTTCATAGTTGAAACATAAAGCTTTTTAACACAATTACGTAGTATTTAACAATGTAAAATTAATTTTTTTTCACAACAGTTTTTTGTCTTGAAGTTCTCTTCAAAAGTTAATAATTTATGAGTTTGTCCAAAATGTTTTAAGCAGAAAGAAGAAAATAGTTGTTGTGGCCTTCAACATTTAGAAATATCAACCACCTATTGTCACTTCACAATGGTTATTTCCATTTTTAAGTCGATTCTATATATCCCGGTGAACTTGAGATAAAAAATACCACACAGTCTGACAACTCTGTTTCATACATGTATTTGAATATTTTACTTGAAAAGGACGTTCATGGTATTCCAACAACCAAGCTCTATGACAAACGTGATGACTTTTCAATCGTCAACTTCCCTTACCTATGCAACAATATACCAGGTACATTTATCACGTGCATATGGAGTTTACATCTCTCCGTTGATTCAATTCTCAGTAGCATGCTCTATATTTGTTCTAAAACGAGGTAAATTTTTGACAAACAAGATCATGAAATAAGAATATCAGCAGTCTTGTTTAAAATCATCATTTCGTAAGTTCTATTGTCGATACTATGACCTAGTCAGCAAACATAGTGCATCATTGCGTCAAATGCTGACTGACGTTTTTCATAATTGTTAGTCCATTATTTACACATTGACTTGACGTCATATTTTCCCGTTATTACCGTATCATGACAAGGAGTACACGGCTGGTGCGACCAGTCGGCATGGGAATGCTTACTAACGCATGAACATGGCACCTAATTCCACAGCTAATGTTTGGGAGGTCCGTGTTTGCTTTGCTCCAATTTTGTATTGTTTACAAGAGCTTGCAATTGAATACTGTTTGTTACCTTCATATTTGTCATTTGTGATGATATTTTTTATGATAATATCGAGATATTTGAATATTATAGCATAGGGTGCTGTTTCGGGGTCAAAGCAGAATAATCAGCCGCTCCATTGATATTTCTTGAAGTACAGGTAATTAAGAAAAAATTAAATATTTAAAATTAGCAAGAATGGCTTCCGTTAAATCGATTTCAATTTCTCGTAATTACGTCAGGAATTACAGATATTTTCCCGCACTTTTTACACAATGCTTTAAAAATTCATCAATGAAATATATAATAGAAAACAAAGAGTATTCAAACTCAAAATTCTATTAAACAAACAAATTTGAAGCAGAGTAACTCTAGCTTCCAAAAAAAAAAAAAAAAAAAAAAAAAAAAACAGAAATTGGACGAGGTGCCAGTGAGCGAGTGACTATACCCTGCCGAACGATATTGAAACAAATAGTTAAAATGATAATACTAATAATGTTTACTTTACTCGTATAACGATGTTTACAATATGATTGAGTTAAAGACAAGTTTTGTCTGCTACTTATTATTACAAAAAAAAAAAAAAAAAAAAAAAAAAAGAAAACTATGTCTTACACCAAACCCCAATACTTTAAATCTCTACATTCCTCCTGACAACATTGAAATCAATCTCTCTTCAATCAAACTTACTTTTGAGATTTCTTTTATTATTGTCTCCTTTCACTATGTTTTTACCATCACTGTCATGGTCACTCCTATTGATGAAGTCTCTGATGCAGTCATGGATGAAGATGTACTGGTCCTTGAAGTGTTTATAAAACGTTTTTTTCAATATTCTCATTAAATAATATTATAGCAATTGTTCATTATCTCGAGTTTTTTTCCTTTTGCGGGGATCCCAAGTATTTCTAATTTTGACTTGATTTGCACCTTTTTCTAAGATTTAAAAGATCTTAGTTTCAATGTCTTTGTGTAATTATTTGATATAACAAGAAACCTGGCTTCATATTTAAATATGAACTTTGCTAATTAAGGATACAAAGTCATCAAAGTAGCAAAGTAGTAATAACAATGCAGTATTTATCTATTGGACCCTTTGTGACTGTATCTCTTGAAGATGAAGCTATCATCTCTCTAAGCAATGTATTATGACGTCATCAAATGCGTCATTTTTACCACATCGTGTTAATTTCTTCAAAATTGGCCAGAAGTTGAACTTTTTTTTCAATATTTTATATTAAGCACAATTTCTAATCCAAAATATGCCAATACATAATGTAAGATCTGATTAGAATAATTTTCAGATAAAGTGCAATGCTCATATATTTATTCTTTGCAGATGGTTGTCATAATACATGTTGACTGTAATGTATGAAATGGGACAGGGGATATAAGTCAATTAATTGATATAAGTATGTGATCATTTTATACATAAAGGGGACCTAGCTCTTTGTTTTGAGATCGTTCACTTTTTGTTATCTTTACCTTTTCATTAAAATATTTTTATAATAGATATACTAGCTTTTATTTAACAGAAATTTAATACTTTAGACCTTTAAAATATCACTATATGTACCTCTGTTTGAACCATATTGGGTCGATTGTTTCGCATTTTCATTACATAGTGATAGATATCTACAACGTCACTGGAAGTCACGTGTTGCATCAAATAATCAACTGCAATAAATGTACCAGTAGGTCCTACCCCAGCGCTAAAATCAATGAATGCAAATACAGTTACAAATACAGTATATAACGCATATATTCTATTATAATGTTTTAATTATACTTTAGGATATAATTTACTGAGAAAAAGTTTCATAATGTTTAGATATTTATGTTAATTCTCCTGCATTCAATAATCTTTCACTTTTTGTATTTTTTTTTCCCATTATTATACAAGTGTATATACATGTAGATGGCACAGAAATATTTTTTTCTTGTTTCTCAAACGATAAACTCTGAGTTGAAAACTGACTAAAGTAAAAAGAAAAAGAAAGAAATATCAGTGAGAATCCAGAATCATTATTTCAATAAATAATAATTTTTGGAAATTATATAGATATAGAAATGACTATGAGCAAATTAAAACCGATTATTCAAACTTGTACATGCAAAAGGATCAGTTAGATTCATAAATAATTTTACCTGCAGTGTACAACAAGAGGTCCTCTATTTGCTGAAGGTAGAGGTAGATGACTTCTAACCTCTTTTGTAAATTTTAGCATGGATTTAGATGTTTCAGGTATACCCATATCAGGCCATGCTAAATAGCAGAACTGTTTCACTGTTTTTCTACTGCCGCCCTGTAGAAATGCACAAATTGTTGGGATATGCATCATGCAGCAATCAATTCCTTACAATTTCAAAGTAAAGGCTCTGTGACCGAATCCACAGAAAACACGTTCAACCGCCTCAAACCTTTATAAATGCTCATTCAAATTTTCAAACAACAATTTTCATTATATGCCTCTCAATGTGCTTCAAGGTTCTTTGCAAGGCTCCATAAATCACTTCTAATTTCATATCATGCTAATAAACATTAGTATCTAAAATTGCTTTTTGGGGATGAAATGTTTACTTTTAATTAGACCTTTCTGAGAAGTTCAAAGTACCTTGAAGCACATTGCGAAGCATATAATGAAAATTGTTGCGTGAAAAGATTTAATTTTCAAGCTTCATTTAAAGACTTTTTGAATTAAATAATAAATTAAAGAGTTGTCCTTCCTGGCTGAGGGTCGGAGTCCCTTAAACAATTCCAATAAAGAACGATAAATAAATTGGCGTGTCAGTAAATATAAATATGACTGAAAAATAATGTTTGGCAAAATTAACAAGATTTTTTAAAAAGCCCCAGTAATGAATAAAAATGCCATCAGAGTATAAAATGGGAATATGCTTTGCTCTATAATTATAAGGTCTATTAAAAGTAAATTCTGGTAGAAAATCAGCAATAATAATTTGATTTAAGAAACTGATTTATTTGGTTGAACGATTGATATACACTGTACCACATAATCAGTTTAAATATTCATATTATTACTAGATACGATATTCAATTGTTCAGAAATGACCGTCGCATTGTATTGTAAAGACTTGTTTATACTACTCAAAATCGATTTCAAATGTCCTTAATATATATATTGCTTATTGGTAATATTATTTCTGGGTAAGCTATACCCATTAGATTAATAAATCCCGCCAAAACGGCTGGGACTACTTTCAGAGACGGCTGGTACCGCTAAGGGACTGCTCTGGGACTGATTTAACACTTTATTAAAACATTTTATTTATCCAAAATATATATCATACTCACTAGTTTTACAGACATAACCCGCAGGATGTAGTCAGGAAAAATGGATTCTGATTCAGTTTCCACCACAAGGTCTCCATAGTGTACTGTTTCCCGTGTAGTTCCAGGCCAATATATATCACACTTCCTCTGTGATAAGGTTTGAACAAGATGTAAAGGTATTTAACTTTTACGTTGGTTTTATTTTGAGATTCATTTTGAGTTTCGTAAAAGGTACCATTGAATCTCATAAAATCAATTATTTTCTTTGTCTTTACGAGAGAGAGAGAGAGAGAGAGAGAGAGAGAGAGAGAGAGAGAGAGAGAGAGAGAGAGAGAGAGAGAGAGAGAGAGAGAGAGTCATTATGCTGTGAATAAAATGCATATAAAAAACAAAGGGAGATAACAGATTCAAAACTTACACGCCCTCTCTCAACAAGTCGAGTGAGCATTACAACAACAGTGACATTCTGTTCCCAAATCATCCTCCAAAACTCGTCACGAGTGAACGGTAAAGGCCCTTGTGTAGCAATGTACTCTCTTTGAGAGCTGAGACCCTTAAATTTCAGAACATTCTTTAAAAGAAAAAAGAAACACACACACACACACAACGAAACCGTCATTAATTCCATTCATTCATTATTCATGATTTTTAAAATTTTGTTTAAATTTTAAGTATATTGTATTGAAATGTACAGTAAATGAAAAATTACTGGTATATAACTGGCGTTGATGTAATCAGATCCTTCATATTCCGTTGATAAAAGCTTCACTCTGCTGTGATCGTCTGCAAGGTTTGTTTACACAACAATAAGTAAAACAACTTACTGAACTCCTGCCAACTGAAAAAAATCCTCTGATCCTGATAGAAAAAATACCTTTTCACACGTAACCCCCCCTCCCCCAATTTCAATTTTAAATCAAGGTATTTATTAATTTTGATTTTACATTTTTAGATGTACACAGCACCACAGAATGTAGTACCCGCGGACTTAGAAAATGCATATCCGCGAATATCTGACAATGTGAAAAGAAACACGTGTCTATAACGTAGCGTAATAAGAAACCTTGTCTACCGAAGATATGGAGTATTATGTACTTGATGGATAATTAAGAGCAGAAAATTATGTCCTTTTATGATTGAAAATCCTTAAAAGTCAACATTTAGCAAATGTATGGTCGGAACAATGGCCTTCCTAATAAAATTTTGTAAAAGTGAATAATACTGCAGTAACTGGTTTTTACAAAGATAGTTAGGCCCTTATTTAAGACCGAGTTGTCAAAGAATTTTTATTTGACAGATCATGATAAGAACACTGCAGGATTAACCGACCGCTTATTTTACAAGGGATGCTTACTCTCTCTTTCTAATTTCAGGGGTCCAAATTGGCTTGTTCGCAATTTTTATATTTTAAAAAAATTTGAGCATGATTTACTGTTGTTTTTGTAAATTTATTAGTTTTTTTTTAATCAAAGACAAGGATAAATTGTACTCACAAGCTAGGATGTTTAAATATCTGTTTTTGATTCGGTTCACCTGAAGTTCAGCAGCTTTAGTTGTGTGAGTTGGGCTGTTCTCTTTTAATACCTATAATAAATCCGTGCATTTAGATATTGTCAACACAATCATTATCAATTAAATATTGTTTACAAAGCGATAATTAAATGAAGATATGAAATATATGTGTAGGATAAACATTTAGAAAACTATATATATTTTCCGAGCTTCATGCATTAGAAATATTAATGTCTCAAGGGGTGATATATTAATAGAAGATGGCTCTCTATCCTATTTAAAAGCATTGAATTAAAATATATGGTGAAAGTTTCCATGTGTGTAAGGAGGGACCAATGACGAGTTCCAAGAATTAAGGCCCTAATGTTGTTTATGTGCAAAAAAGAGTAATTTATAGCAAAATTAGCGTGATCTAACTATGTGTTTATTTCCATAACTAAAATCTTAATGAAATAAGGTTGATAAAGATTTTTTTAGCACTTGTGAGTTCTCCTTTTGGATTAAACCTCGATCACATGTATAGATACTACCTTATACTCCTTTGAAAACAGGTTGCTGTTAGCGTGCAATTTCTTAACATAACTGGCAAAATCAGCTATTTTCACAGCACTACAAAATGTTTTACAGTGAATTATAAATAGCCTACGAAAAACATGTATTATAACACTCAGATAATGAAATGTAAATTAGGTATTCAGTTCAGTTTATTCTCACAAAATTATAATTATAAACACGAGGTGCATATCTTTTTATTGTACTGAAACCAGCCTATTCAATTAATTTTTGTTCTTCAATTTTGTAAACTACAATTCAAATTTCTAAAATGAGTTTGAGTTTTAGAATATTAATACATGTATATATGTTCAAATTTCTAAATTTCAAAAGCTCAAACTGATTTGTTATATTGAAATTTAATATTTTAGTTCCAAAATCCAATTGTTCAAATTTCCAAACAGGTTTTAGAATTTTAAGTTTTTAGATTTTTTACCTAAAATATTCAAAATTCAAATTTCCAAAAACAAAGAACATTATTCGGTAATAACCAATATTTGCCCCCCAAATCAAACTTTGATGGAGATATATTTAATTAAGTTCTTAAACAGGGGAGTATATGCTGACTTCAAAGCACTGAATATTTTCATAAGTAAAGACGCCATATGTACGTAATGACGTCACAAACATGACGTAAATTTCAGTTTTATATGAATTTTACAGAAAAATGTACATATTTCGTCGATATTTTGAGTAAAATTCACCGAGCGCATGTGTGTTCAGGATCAATATTTTGATATAATGTGTAGAATGATAATATCAATGAAATATGTCAATATCGTTCCTGAACAAACTTGCGCTCTATAAATTTTAAAGCTAAAATTGTTGAAATTTTGTCCATTTTGTCTTCTTTCTGATAAAGGATATAAAATCAGACTAGTTTGTGACGTCATAAAAACAAAAATTGTGAATACGCTGCTTTGACACTATAATATTTTCTGTTAATTTATATTTCTCATACAATTTATTAAATTCAGCACATTTCAGGAAGTTTTCAAAATTTGACTTTTATGGTGGGCAAATATATGCAATATACCGCACATAGTTCTTTTGTATTCTAATCTTTTGAGTTTTTAATCTGACTTTTCTAAGACTTTTTATATCAAAACTTACTTCAAATTTCTTTATTTCAACTTGCAAAACGTTTTAAATTTTTTGAAAGAGCTGCGAACGATAGCATTATTCTCTCGCCTACCCCTTAGTCAATTTTCAAAAGTTAACAAAATCAGTGGATTTTGATATTTTTTTTATAGATAATTATATGGATTTTCATAAAACAATACTTTTTTGGGCAAACAAAGAGAAACAACCCCCAGTGTCACAAAAATTCGTTTTAAAGGTAATATGAACTGTTATTTCATTAATTCATACCAAAGTTTTTGTGTGACACGGTGGGGTGGGGGGTATGTTTATTGACAAACAACGATAAAAATGCTTATTTTCCCCCAATGCCAAAACAATTTACAACTGAAATTTTATATTTTATTAATATATTTATGTTTTATTTATTTGCCTAATACATAAGAAAAGATATAAGAAACATTTAATCGCATCCAAGATTATTTCAAAATAAGGTGATGCCTGAAAGTCCGATTTCAATTGGAAATTTCGTCTAACCTCCCCCCCCCTTTTTTTTTAAAGAGCTAGAGGTATGGCTAATTTACTATTTAGCGCTGGAATTAAGAAATTCATCAATTTCCATTGAACTGTTCTTTGTATTAAACAAAGAAGATATTGACTAATTGCCATTTATATTGAACAAAATGGATGCAAAATGTAGGTGGGAATCGAGAGTTAACGTGCGTATTTCTTTAGAATTTTGATTCAAACATTCAAATTTCAAATAACCAAAACACTTGGAGTTTTTAGATATTTACTTCATTTAACCAAAATATCAAATTTCAAACCTGGTTTGAATTTTCAAACTATCTCTAAACACATTTGGTTAGGCAAAAAAGTTTTTTGGTAGTTGGAATACTGAACTTATTTGAAGTATTCAAAATTCAAATAGGGTTTTGAAATTTGATATATTGATAGTTAAAGTAAAACTCTAAAACTCGAAGTGTAAAGGTTATTTGAAATTAGAACATTTGAATCAAATTTCCAAATTTCCAAAAAAAAAATCAAAAACGAATCAAGGTTGGATTTTAGATTTGAAGCTAATTTTAAATAATCAAAAGACGAAAAATATTACTGAACTATAGAAAGTTAAGTGTAAACTTTCTGAACAAAAGGTAGACTAAAAACCCAAATTTTCAATTAAAAATCGTTTTTGGAAATTTGAATTTTGATCTTTTAAGGTAAAAAACTAAAAACTTAAAATTCTAAAACCTGTTTGGAAATTTGAAAATTTAGTTTTATGAACTAAAATATTAAATTCAATGTACCAAATCAGTTTGAGTTTTTGAAATTTAGAAATTTTAACGAATATATTAACATTCTAAAACTCTAAATCATTTTAGAAATTTAAATTGTTAAGTGCTACACGGACCCGATCAATTGCATTATTCAAAAGGTGTTATTTTCCTTTTTCGAAAATAATTTGATTATTTCTAGATAATATATACGTGTAAGATATATAAGAATGTAATTTCAAAGTCTATTCTTTGTTATGGGAAGCCCAAAATTTCTTTTCATCAGAGAAAAAATAATCATGCAGGTGGTTTGCAATTTAGATTATGTGAAATCCTCGTAATATGTTCAGTTGTATAGTAACCTCATAATAGAGGAAGTGTCCATGGTTTACTATCGATCCAGGACATGGTACAACGTAATTGAACATGCAAATAAACATAGAAAACACTATTAATTATTATATCACTAATGTGGCTTTTTAAAAAATTCACCCTGTTGTGTCGTAATTTATAATGAAAATATTGAAAATCTTACTTAGGTTCTTTTAAGGTACTGCCCATTTCTACAGCAGGAAAGATTTCAATCGGTTGGCCAATTTCACCACAGTCACTATAAACATGCCGTAGTGGCCTATATGAATGGAAAAAGATACAAAGAAAAAATGAAGGTACTTCAGAGACTGAGGTCACAAAATGATAACCGCTCTCACGTGAACCAATACAATGGCAATGTCTTTATAATTATGTTTTACAAAGGGAGATCTCGAAATATCTGTCCGATCAGAGCATACATGTAGAATAGGAGGTGTACCGTGGCACTATCATATATGTACATGTTTTTAAGATTCTAAGAAACTTCATAAAATTTCATAAAGTGGTATGGAAAGAGTTGCAGATAAGAGATGGGTACCCCATCGATCATTTTATCAAATGAATTGCATCATGTTAAACCTCCTGCTTGATGAGCGCGGTATGAAAAATATAAAACTGTTTTAAAGTTAAATTTAGTCATTTCATCGTATAAAATATCTCATTGATTAAATGCAAGATTTGATTTGTCTCAGTATCAATTTTAAGTTTAGCAGCATAGGAATAGGCATTTAATAACAATCTATTTCATACATTTGTGAGTCCACACTTAAAAAAAGAATTAGTGGCAAAATATCTTTTTTCTATCAGAAAACACACTTGGAGAATCGTGCTTCCACCACTTTTTGCTAGGTTTTCTCGTGGACATATTCTTAATAGAAAATTCATTGAAGAATTTCATTTTTAGCTATACTTACCCTTTTTTCTTCCTTTTATGGAATACAGCGACAATTATTACAACAATAAGAGCAACGAGAATAACAGCGGAAACTGAACCAGCGATAACTGGTACATTATTGGGTGCTGAAAATAAAATAAAAAGGAATACAAAAAGTAATAGTTCAAGTAACTACATCTATATAGTAAAAGAACAGAGAATAAGATTGATTGATTGATTGTATATTGTTTAATCCCACACGAGAATGTTTCAATCATATGGAGACGTCACCATTTTCCGGTGAAGGGCTATATTCAGCACTCAGGGCCATTGAGCAGTAAGTGGTTCTTTATCGTGCCAACGCCTACCGTGACACGGGATCCATGTTTTAAGGTCATATCCGAAAGACCCGTGACTTAAACTTCTAGTGCCGAGCGCTTGCCGAAGTGACAGTCACTACCTATGTTTACGTCTTAGGTCTGACTCGGAACCGCGAACGAGAATCGAACCCGGGTCTCCCGATCACGAAACGAACGCTCTACCACTAGGCTACCATGACCGGTCAGAAAATTAGATGAGAGGGTTTCTGATTAAGGACATATGCAACGTAGTTTAAACTTTGAATTATAATCTCAAATTAAAAATATCTTGAGATAATATCAGTAAGTGGGTACGTTGCGTATGTCCTTAGATATATATATAAAATATTACCTGTGGTAAATTGACTGGAATATTCTGATTCTAGACAAGCCACTCTTGTACATATTGCATAACGTACCCTAATAAGGGAGCAATTTGTTAACTGAAGTCAAAACAAAGTAAGATCAGGTTGAAATTGAAAAAAAATAAATGTAAGAACATTCATACCAATATTTTTTCCCTGGCTCTAGATATCCATTACAATATTTGTGACTATTAGAACAGTCTCCCTCTGATCCTAGGGTAAACATGGTGTGCATTTCAGTTTTTTCTCTATTCTGTGTACCTTGATTAGAAAAAAATTAAGAAGTCACTATTTCATGAAATATGTGAAGATAAAGAAAAACGATCGATCAATTAATCTTTTAGTCAGTCATTGAGTAAAAGATGTAATATTTAGAAGTTATTTGAGATTTTTATCATTGAATATGTAATACCATATTTTGTATTTTATTAATTTTAAATGGATAATTAATACATATAGAAATATTAACAATACATTGTATTTTTATGACAAAAATTATTGTACATGTAACAGTTACAACCATAAGCAAGAATTGTTTGTGAAACACCGATGCCTCCCTATAGAAGCTTAATTATGGCGAAGATTAAAGATTTTTCAAATGTAAGTTAAAATCAAAGGTCAAGGTAAAAATTTGTTGGTATTCAGAAAAAAAGGTTTTATCACAAGAAATACACCTTTGAATTATAAATGCTATAGTACTAACTTTAAAAAAGTCATGGCCAAACTAAATGTTTTTGAAAGTGGGTCAGACTCTAAGGTCAAGGTCAAAAGGTCTTGTCAAAATGATTCACTAGTGAATTATGATAGTCATAGCACCAACTGCTCAAAAGTTACCGTATCAGTGGAAATTTTAGCGAGATGCAAATTTAGCGATTTTCCTTAAAAACTGGTATTTTATTTTTAGCGAGAAGTAATTTTAGCGATTTTAATATGCTCACTAAATAAGCTATTACATATGAAACGAAGTAAATTTTAGCAATATTTAATTTTAGCGATCTCAGCACCCTCGCTAATAATGCCAATGTTAAATCCTCGCAAAAAAAGTCTGCTTATACGGTATGACCAATGTTTGATATTTTATTGCAAAAGTGGGTCAACTCTCCAAGTTCAAAGTAAAGAGTTTAAATTTTGTGGTACCAAAAGAAAGGTCTCGTCACAAGGAATAAACTTGTGTGAAAGTCATAGCTCATCATTTCAAAAGCAGTTGGCAAGGTTAAAGTTTATAGCGGACAAACAGACAAACGAACAAGAAGATAAATGTAAACAGGTAGACAGGCAGATACACAGAGCAAAAACTATATACATTCGAATCTTCGATTATGAGGGCATAGAAATTATGATATGCTTAAGCGGGTTAATAAGCATTTTTTCCTGTAACAGCAACCGTTAATCCAATTAACATACAAAATTTTAAATACTTACTCTTTACACAGTTTGGTTTCCATGAATCTGAGGCTACGTAGGTGTGCCTATTATCATTTTCATAGACATCCCTCCATGTTTGATAGTGCTTTTGAATGAAATTATAGTAATTTGCCTTTCCTCCGATAAATGTTCCTATATAAGGAAAACAAATCAAATTTTAATAGTAACAATTATGTAAATGTTTTAATTGTCAGTAATAAACTGAAATAAATTCACTTACCTGTTGATCCTTTTGATTCTTTTGAAACGATGACAAACCACTGCGTAATTTCCCCATTTCTATCATAACACAATGCCAGTAGACTAAAAGCAATGGACAACTGCTTTTGCTCGTTAGAAACAGACGAGCCTTGCTGGATAACGGGAGTCTTTTGTGGAGGTAGAGGAAGTGGAGCTTTAAACAGAAAAGTGTATTTTCTAACAAATGTTTTGCAATGTTTATTCAGATTATTCAAAATACAGTTGAACATGTAATCCAGACGAAAGTTATGTGGATTAGTCACTTTCTGAACGATATTGAATTTTAACAGAATTTAACTTACCACCCGGCTTAATAGTTATCTTATCTGTATAGTAGTTCTCTTCAGTTGCATTTTCGACTGTCATTGCAAATATCTGTAATTCAAAATATGAATTAAACTAATTATAAGAGTCCCATGGACCACAACGCTCACCCGGGTAACTTTGGACCTCCTGTATCTGTAATTTTGTTGTGGCCTTACTCTACTACAGTACCCGGGGTTCATGATATTTGAAAAACAGACACATTAATAAACAGAAATACAGACAGAAAGATGGACGGAGAAATCAAAATCTATATGCCCTCCGAATCTTCGATTGCAGGATGTACATGTAAAATGCACATAATCATAGGGCTATAACATGGACCCTTAAAAGCTCCAGACGCGAGATTATGTGTGTAGGAGGAGTTAAGATCCCCTAGAAACAATGGGGATAAGTCCTCTACTTTTATTAGTTTAACGGAGTAACCTGTTGTAAATATAAATCTGATGGTCTTACAGTTGGAATGACACAAATGAGTCAAAATGCGGGCCAAAGATAGGATTTATTTTCAACTCAGTTCATTAGAATTAAAGAACATTCGGAATGTTGTCTATAAACAAGGTTGTGTAAATCCCTGTAACAGCTACCTATTATAGTCGTCTTAAAAAATTGAACAAACAGAGATGCTCTTGTGTATTGCATACTTTAAGAGACATTAACAACATAAGTATGTAGATTGGAAATGGAATATTTAGATATTGAAAATTGAAGAAAGAAGTAATGAAGTCTTCTCTTTTGTTATACAGTTTAGTTGGAAAAGTGTCAAAATGGTGTTTTTTCAGTTAAACATCCAAAAATTAACAGGTATAAGAGACTCTGTGCTGTCTTTCATTTAGAGTTCTCTAGGATCGATTAATTGATTGCATGTTGTATAATGTCCCTCTCGAGAATTTATCACTCATATGAAGACACCAACACTTGCCGGTGGAGAGCTACAAAAATTGACCTATGCGCGGTATCCATGGTTTATATTGAACAGTGAGTGATCTTTTGAATGAAAGTACATACGTGTTAAAAGCAACAGTAAGAAAATCATTCGAATTAATTTCAAGTAAAAGTTTTGTGAATGAGTCCTTTTTATAGAAAGTAAGATAGCTGATTGATTGACTATTTGATTGTATTATTTAAAGTAGTTAGCTCAACACTCGAAATATTTTCCACATTTATTCAAGTTCATAAATCATAATTTTGCGAATAGGTTACTCTTCACTCCGTACAATATGTATATTGGGAAACTTGCTAGATACATGTAACTAGCCGGTTTTCACGGACACTGCTTAATCTACAACTGTATCTTTTCTCCTACATTGATTCTAACATTCTATATTTAACTATAAGTGACATTTTATAACACATTTTCTTTACTTTGATTGACATGTCCAATTATAAGTCAAGTATTATGTTCTATCCAATCACTGTCAATTTTTATTACTCAAGTCTGACCATCACTAAAGGTTAACGCCCATTGTTGACCTGTGTTTATCACCTAATTGTTACCTAAACGTTTTAACTCAATTAGTGTCAAACATTCTTTTAATCGTGAAATGCATTGTCCATCTGCCCTCACTATCTGATAAGTATTTGTCCTAATGCAATATTTAATGGCTTTGATTTATTATTTCCTTGTTAGAGTTATGGCTTTTTATGAACATTAAGTTACATTTTTCACTTACGTATCAAGAATTTCACAAGATTGCGTATGTTAAATACATTAATAAATAAAACAGCCGAAAATAGAAAATATATAGAAATGTGCAAAATATACATTTTGCACGGTCATAGTATGCTTTATTACTTCCATTCGAGAATTTTTACTCATATGGAGACGACACTGTATTCTGGAGGAGGGCTTCAAATCAAGACCTATAAGAGGCAATTATGGTTATGAAGCAGTCAGAGTACTTTATCTTGCCAAAAACTACCTTGAAAGAGACCTCATTTTTTAGGTCTAAAACGAATGAACCCTGACTTTCTCTCCTACTGCCGGGCGTTTGTCAAAGACATTCACAGTCATTACCTATGTTTGCGTCATATGTCTAACGGCGTGGCGATTATATATTGAACCATACGCACCCCGATCTATTCGCAGAACAGATATTTAAGGTCAAGATCTAGTAAATGAAGAGTGCCTACAGATTTATCAAATTCAAGAAATGAATGCCTTTAATGATGCTTTATAACTTTAGCTTGGTCAAAAAAGGTGTTTCGGGGTATAATATGTAGGAAAATTAGATGAAAAACCATATTTTAAACTGTCATTTTCAATGAAAAAGTAAGAAAATTAGTCATGAATATGGAAGTTTTTGCCATATCACAGAAACAAAATGTATCCAGATTGCCTACAGTCTTTCAGAAAACGGTAATTTGTATGTTCTTGGTCTCTTCTTTTAAATAATGTTAAATCTAATGTAATTATCCGGACTACTTTTCAGGTGATTTCAAATTGAATTCCATGAAAATACTTTATTTTCTTCATAATTCTATTAGAGCCGTAAAGTACGGGAAAAAGAAAGTTGAAAGTGATTATGACGTCATAATGGATCTAGCACCAAAATGTTAGTCTAAGGACATTTACTAGATCTTGACCTTAAATTGAAACAAAAGCAAATGTAATGTCAATAAAAAATTCAATAACTTTGTAAAAAGAATTACAGAATGAGCCGTCACAAAACACACAGATTTTTGGTATGACAAGCCTACTTTTAATCTAGGAGCTGTGCCAATTCTGCAAGTGCAACTGTGAAAAGTGAAAACTCTAAATCGATGAGTGACCAACATCTCATATTATCTCATATCAAGTATAAAGAAAAAACTGAATAAATTTAAATGAAAGACTTCAAAACACCCAATCGAAACAAATACGAGAATTTCATATTCTTACATTAAATATTATTACATGACTCTTGGAATGAAAATGTTCTCTGTATAATTTTGGCAAGATTTGTAAAGACTTTTTCTTAAAGGTTTGGTTTCATTTTAATCTTTCATTTAAGAAATATTGGTAAAACAAATATTTTAAACATTTTACCTGAAAAGTATAAGTTTCCTCAGGCTTCACCTCAATTTTAACTTCCCGGGTATTGCTACTATAAGACATAACCTGTAAAACACGGGGGATTCATCATTAAGAGTAGCATTACTATTTTCAAGGGAATGTTAAAAAAACAATCGTTTTTATCTACATTTTTGAGTTTATGTAGGCATTGTGGCATCACACTTTGAAAAATTACGCACTTCAACTTTTTTCAAAGTGCGTTAATTTGGAGAAAATAAACACATTTTGAAGAATGTTTTCAAAGTACATCAAATTTTGGATTCATATTGCGTTGAAACTGTACATCAACATTTGTTTTATCATGGAGGCACTAACCGATCCTTGAAAAAAATGCATATAAAAATTCCTCACTTATAATTAAAAAAAAAACCGGTTAGACCTTCGGACTAATATGCCCGACTCAAAACTTTTTATAAGTTCCGGGACACGATTTTTTTTAATTCCAAATATGTTGACATTTTCAGAAAAAAATATTTTCCAACCTACCAACTGACCCAACGATTTTATTTTACCCTATGTTGGCAGAGGGCAAGCATGCATTCTTTTGTATGACCTTAACTTACCATTTTTTCACCTAGTAGATACCAGAATTGAATGAAATATATCTGGATTATTCCATTCAAATCTCTTTTTACGGGTGGTTTCCATTCTATAAGGACATTTGATTTTACAGCGATGTTTTCGTCCTGCTTTACCGAGAAGTACTCAACTCTGCCAGGTGCTGAAATATAAAATCATGTTTACTTAGGTGAATTGAATAAAATTGTAATAGCAATTCTTAGTATATAAAAAGAAAACATAAGGTTCTTTACCACTTTGTGCAGTTGTGAATTGAGAAGCGGAATAATTTGGCTCGAAATTGTCGGTAAACACTCTGACTACCAAAGAATACCTCCAGTACGCATCTAATCCAGTAATAATACAGTTTGTATTTCCAAATCCTAGAAAGGGTAGAGAAAATTGGTAAATCACTAAGTCATAAGCTTCTTTGACAAATGTCAATTCAAAAATATTAAAATATCCATTAAAGGACCCTTCTTTTACAAAAATAAATAAATAAAATAAAATCAACCGATACTATATAAAAAAAATATCAGATTACTTTATATCAGGTGTAAGTGAAACAAAATTTACATATTATCTTTGAAAGCTATATTGCTTTAAACAAAAGCAATATATATTTATAAACATGTGTTAAATATGTATTGACATTCACGAAGCGAACGCTGAACCACTAGGCTACTGTGACCAGTAACAATTTCTTTAACCACAAGGCATTTTTCTGATATCAACAAAGTCATAAAAAGAATCGCCCATTCTTGTAAAAAATGTAATTTTTTTTTTATCTATTTCCATTTGGCACCTTAACTATACTGCGTCTAAAAAGGCGGATAACACACTTCAATAGCATCAATTTATGTCAGTTTTTATAAATGGAACGGATAGCCTTTTTGTACTTTTAAGATTATAATGTTTTCACAATTACTGAATTCAGATATTGTCGACTTTCTATTTGTATCCCATTGTTAATACACGTTACCTGAATTGAACAAAACGTGGAATTTGTGTCATAATTTTTTCTGTCATAATGCCTTTGACATAAATTCAACATATCTTTCAAAGATACTAGTATGACAAATAGGTTTCAGATATGCGGTAGGCATGTATATTTTCAAATGATTGCACCCATCATATTGTTAATATATTTTGCAATTTTTCTTATTTAAAACGCGTTAAAATTTCAGTTTAACGAGGCCGAGTCTGATTCGAGTTTGCATGCGTTTGTGCAGCTTTTTAATTTCATGAAGTCATTTCTGCGACAGTGCATCCTTGCCAAATATTTTGATTTTTATAAAAAAAAAAAATAAACATTATCTGTAACCTCTACTGGTCCGAAAAGGTGATTTTACGACAATAATTAGGAAAAAGTACTGAAATGGCCCTAACAACGTCAACATTTTCCGATTTTGTAAGCAATGCATGACGCTGGAAAATGACGCATGACTCGCTTGCAATTGTATGTTCAAGACGTCCATGAATATTATACAAAAACTGATGACAGAACATCAAAAGAAACATACTAGCAATCTAAAGATTGCTATTTTTTTTTACCAAAAAAATTATCTGGGCCGATAATTTGTCTGCTCCATTATGTATTTATACAGCAATATGACAATTTCAGAGGCATTGGGCATCGAAAAAATAAACCTTGTAAGTAAGACCTAAACCAACCTAGATGGTCAACATTTTAAAAATTTTACAATTTGGTTACTTTTTACAATAATATTCATATTCTTGACTGAAAACAAAATGTCTAGAGCAGAAATACAAAAAATGTAGGAAAAATGTGATAATTTTGCGCTATTCTAACAAATTCCCATAGGGTCGAATAGTATATTTTGACAACTTTTGAGATGGCCCCCTAAGAAATCGGGGCGATAAACATTCGATTTTTTAAATCTTAAAACAATAAATATAACAATAAAATTTAATTGAAGAAAAATTATCGATATCCCTAGGGTAGAAATAATAAGACTCGGCCTCGTTAAGGACGTTCGATACTTTGCTTTTGAGTCAATTTTAATTTCTTAAATTCTGTATCATTTTTAAAGTTTCAACATTGAAAATGGATTCTACAATGCAAATTAAACTATATACATTGCAACAACCGCAATTAAAACCGCAATTAAATTCCATTCCAGTAGGAATACGCTAGGAACTATATTTTGTGGCAGGTTTTTAGAAGAAAATAATCGTTTTCTCCCTTTTGAACTATATATAGTACTGTTAATTTAAGATTCTTATTTTTCCATAATGGTTGCACACAAAGCTGTTTTTCCAGTGAATGGTCAGATGCTTGTTCTAAAATATCTATTAAATTATGACAAATATAGTAAATACACTGTGCATGTATATTCTGAGAGTCCAGGAAAAAAATTAAGCCAATTTTAACATAAAATTGACACACGTTTAGTAGGGGATGCTCACTCCTCCATGGCACCTAATCCCACTACTGATATTTCGGAGGTCCACGTTTGCTCTGCTCCTATTTTGTATTGTTTTATGGACTTTGATATTGAATACTGTTCGTTATTTCCATTTCCTTCTATCTAAAAATTTACATCATATACCCCCACTTTTGATGTTCTTTTCTGATAATGCAAGATAACTTGGACCTATCTGCTAAAATTCTGCAAAAGTTTAAGACTTAAATATAATTTTCTTTCTTTTCAAATTTTCAATACCAGAAAAGCACATTTTGTGATTGCAGAAAGGTCAATTAATTGATTATGCGAAGCAATTTGAAACTTTTTCTTAGTCACAATTTTAAAGTGTCTTTTGTAAAATAGACATAGTTTATTTTGTTCCCTGCTTTATTTGGATAAAAAATATTGGGGGAAAACGTCGAAGATTTATTATTTTTTTATAAAGACACAGATTTAAGTGCAACAAGTTCATATTTAATGTACTGTAGCGTCAATAGAAGCATATTGACCCCTAACTATTTTTTATTTGATTTCTGATTAAGCTATGTGTGTAGAAACTGAAAATATACTAGGAAAAAGTTTAAATCTTTAAATATAGAAGGCAACCTCGTTAAAATATTGACTTAATTTTACAGATAATCTAAAAAATGTTCATGTATAATATATCATGATATTGATTTAATAAAATACTGAAACCTCATTCATGGACAATGCTTTTATGAAATAGAAGAAAATTAGAGAGTTTGGCATACAACCTTGAGTTCTACAGGTGAAATTAATTGTGGAATCCATTTCATCAATAGCAGAAGCTTCGTATCTCGTTGGACCTGTTTGGAGTATAGGGGGGTTCCAAGACACTCTCAAGGAACTCGCCTTTATAACCACAAACGTGATGTTTCCAGGTTTAAATGGTGCTGATTTAACAAATGCAAAACAATGAATCAATGTTAAAAAAACATAACACTTAAACTCTGTGTTTAGATTATTGAGTGTTTAAAATTTGACTCGTTTACTACTTGTTTTAAGGTAATCCATTCCTTAAAATCAGAGTCAATAGTGGAATAGATATATATATATATATATATATATATATATATATATATATATATATATATATATATATATATATATATATAAAATATAATTCCTATTTATTGCCATTAGCAAGTAACAGTAGAAAGTGTCTTAATTAATAAAATCAATATTAAAAAAGAATTTAACCCACTGTTAAAACAAAGTCTTTTTTCTCTATTTTCTAATGATTTAATATATTCTTCTACTGAAGTATTTATTGATATTATATATAATGAATTCATATTTCGCCTGACCTCCTAGACTGTAATGCAGTTCTTGTTGATTAATCACTACATTGTTTATTTCAAATTCTAAAATTTCCTTTGGTAAATCATATCCGACTATCAAATGGTTTCATCTATATACTTAAGGGATATTTACGCATAGTTAATTAGGTACTAAAAGGAATGGAAGACCTTAATTGAAATATTACCTTCACTTAAAGTTCGAAAAGTTTCCGATTTGGCTGGAGCACTTTTTTGCGTGACGTTTGCGACTTCAGTAAGTATGGTAAAAGTATATAAACGATACGGAAGTAAATTGTGAATTAGATAAAATTTTTTACTGCTATTGGTATGAGTCGTTTTATTAATAGAGTCATTCTTATTCTGGACTATTATTTTGTAATTAATGATATTTCCGTTAGGATAGCATGGCTGTGTCCACATCAAAAGCATTCCTCTTGAAGTTTTATTAATTACCATTATCTCAGAAACGTTTCCAGGAGCTAAAATTCAAAAGTAACAAATCAAGGGGTAGAAGAAAATGTTCACAGATGACAAATCTGAATTAAAAAATGAGAAATAAATTATGTTTTTTTTCCCATAAAAAAAAGATTTCTACCAATTTCTAACATTCAAAACGCAATGCACATTGTGATATGCTATACAAAAATCATCAGTCATTTAATTCATATGCTAGAAAATATTTTTAATTTGTTTTGAGACAAAGTTCATCAAACTATTTGCTTCTTTATAATGTGGGGTGCACAAAGATTATTCTTACTTGTAGGAAGTGTTTGGACTCGGACCTCTTCACTATAGTTGCTGTAACCGGCATATGTTCTGACCCTTACTCTGACTTTATACTTCCAGAATGGTTTTAAATTTTCTAGTGAAAATGTGTAATTGTTATCTTCCTCTTGAATTGAAATTTCTTTTTTCTCAGTCGTTTGGTTTGGTGTTTCTTCTGATGAACAAATCTTGTAAGGTTTATGTGTATATTCAATCTCTTGATGTGTGATCAATCCATTTATTTCCATAGGCCTGTTGTATACAAAGGACATGCTAAAAATATCTTTTGTCGGCAGAGGTTTTCCCGGTGTTGAAGGCTCTGAAACATAAAAAAAACATTGAAAATAAACATTTGAAGATTACGAACTGTTATGCATCTTAAGGATGATATTGAGATAACGAATAGTATTCAATATTTAAGTCAATAAAACAATACAAAATAGGAACAGAACAAACACGCCCTCCAAAACATCAGAGGTGAGATCAGGTACCATGGAGGAATGAGCATCCTCTGCTGACCGGTACAGGATATTATTTACTTAGATGACAAAATCCACTGATGAGTACGAAAAACCTATTGGACATTGAACACCTATCATTCTTGTATTTAATTCCAATTTGTATAAATTAGATAAACGACCTTTTTTTATACTAGTGACACCTGAGTATACATGTATCCCGGAAAATACATCATACTATGATCAATTTTTTTTTCTCACAAAATATAACAAACTACAAACCTCTTTATATAACGAAATATGATAGGAATGAAAAAGCATTGCTTCTTATAAATAAACAATCAGAGTTTGATCCATAAACTTAGTACTTATGACACTTTCCTCTAATATATTTCTATTTTTATCTTAATACCTTGTTTCATTTTTAATCTAAAATTATAAAAATCTGCTTAATTTTTTTGTCCTTAAATGTTAAACGAGAATTGACTTCAAATTATAAAATATTATTATTTGAAAAAATGAAATTGACGTACAACTGAGTTTTCTTTACCCATATCAAACAATTTTAGATTTAAATTATTGAACCTTATAAAACTCCGTTTCCATCATCTATAACCTGAGTAACGATCATCCTAAAGAATCATGAAAACAAAACTGAACTATGTGCAGGACACAAAACTTGTACCGCTTAAGATTCCAACAGAGGGACCAGATGTGTATGTGGAGTACTCATTCCTTATGAACTGGTTACGCCCACAAGTATATCTGTATTTAACAGGAAAACGGATATAACTCGTTATTTAGTTCATTAGAAGCCATTCATTAAAGACAAATTACACTGACAAAGCTGATCTCATCTATTTTGTCATATTATTTTGTTGTTGTTTGACCTATTCTGCATAGACTACGTTAACGTTTCTGATGAGGAAACCAGCAGCAATCCTTTTATTTTTATCAATATCAGAGTAGTTAAGAATAAGATTGATATTGTACAAAGTAATATTGTAATGGTAAAGGACTAAGCACAAGCTTAGAAAATTTCATCAACATTTATGGGATAAAGTGTACCAGAGATTGTCAATGTTGGGGTAATGATAACAACATTTTATTATACGAAAATCAAAATATACGGCGGTTGTTACCAATCAACAGGGGTGCTTCCTCCTCAATGGCATCTGATTCCATCTTTGGAAATTATTTGGGTCCGTGTCTATGTCCTATTTACAGTTTTGTACTATTTGTAGCTTTTGAGATCAATCGCTGTGTACTTTCTTCATTTTTTCATTAAATAACATTTTATGTCTTACTATTCGGGGCTTTCGATCCGAAAGCACGATTTGCATCATTTATACATGTAACTTAGATACATTTCCAATGTAGAATATGAATAACACACAAGATTATGTAGTTTGGATTTCAATAGAATTTAAATTGTCATAGTAATGTTTCCTACATTGATAGCCAAGGGTATAAATCTCGACGCTTCAAACTTTCAACGGTCGTGCTTTGTTAGCACAGATGCACTACTAAACACTTAATAAAGAATTTGAATTTTAAAACAATTACAAAAACGTTAATTTGCAAATATGGGTTTTGAAGAAAAAACGTCCTTTATCAAAAATTTATTACAATATTCAAATGAAAATCAGACATTCTTACGATGTAACCCCTTGTCTGAAACAAATTGATGTTAAAGTTTATAAAACAATTATCAACCTGACTGTCATACATATAGAATTTAAACTCACTATCAGCTGATGTCCTTATATCTGTAGTTGAATCTGCTCCTCCTCCTTCAGAGGTATACGCTTGCATAGTAACTGAATACGAGGTGAATATGTCTAATGCCGTCACTTCATAGATAAGAGATACATTGTTGATGCCAAAGGATGATGAATGCTTATTACAACCAGAATAAGATTCCTATAACATATTCAAAATTTATTGTGTTTTGTTGTAAAAATATGTAAGTATCTCTCAACACAAAGATTTAAGATAGGAGCAACTATCAACAAAAGAAATCTATGTCTTTATCTGTTTCAATTTGACATATTCTTTTTCATATATAAAAGATGCAGTAAAAAAAAGAAATAAAAAAAAAATCGCATATAAAAGAAATCGTACATTTCGTACGCTTTAAAGTGTCAAAAACAAGACATAAAATGGCCTAAATAGACACATCAGCTGTATGAGTTGAATTCTCTGTGGCTTACTACGGATCCCACATGATTTCATGCTGAAAACAGGAGACCGGTAAAGTCCGAAGACTTTTTTTCTGTGTATTTCGTAGAAGAAAAGCAATTTGTGCATTTGTATTGTTTCATTTCCATACTTATGATTGAAATAATTCATTTATTAAACATGAATCTTTAAAGTCTTTGAAAGCCATGTTTGAAAGCGATTTGCTGTATTCCTTTATTATACTATCGATGAATACAGTTTACAGTTTTCATATAGGTTCCCTTAAGAGACATCACGGCTATTTTAACGTTAAAACATCTTGACCATTTTCTAGTACCGATAAACAACTTAACAACAAATTACACAAATGGCAGTGACACATTTCATAGTTTTTAAGCTGTATTTATTTTGTTATAAGGCCTTACATTTTGACTTTTACTCGGAACGCACGGTCATTGAGCAGTTTGGAACGGGGCCTACGTTTTTAAGGTTTCTTTTGAAAGACCTGCAACTCTGAATTAAAGTCACGACCTTCCAATCAGGGAGCGAGAGCTCTGACCATGTGTTCGAGTAAAATTTCATCATGTAGTTGTAAACAACCACATAGCATCGCTATTGAACATTACCTATAGTATAAGTAATGTTAGGGAAAAAGGGGGCAGGCCATGTTTTAATGTTTGGATGTTTTAATCAAACTCGTCTAAAAATATGAAGTTTTAATAACTTTTCGATAAAATAAGACTTTATATATATATTTTTCTTTATATATATATTTTTGTGTGAAATGCTATTAGAAATCCGGGGTATATAAGTCGTAATATAATACGGAAATTTTAACCTCAAATCTTTGCCCATGCGCCTTTAAGGATTTTACTAAGGTACAACACATTCCTAAAAATTTGAGATGTCCTTGTCGGCATTTAAATTCAATACAACTTTTGTAGGGTATCCAAATATTAAAATAAAAAAAGGATATAAACAGTATCAAAATACAATTGGTTGTAAATAGGAAATACATACAGAAAATATGTTACTTTTAAAATCATGACCTCTGAAAAGGCATGTGAGACTTTCATAATTTTTAACGCAAAGGGATTGGGATTTGAAAAATTACAATTCATTAAAATTTCTTTGCTTTTTGATCACCAACGGCAAAAACTGAATCTCAGTAGTGGTATTTTTTTTTTCTCAAATTGACCAAATAGGAGCAGAGCAAACACGGACCTTCAAAACATCGGAGGTGGATCAGGTGGCATGGAGGAATAAACATCCTCTGCCGACCGGTCAAATTGTAACCCTCATTAAACAAACAATGCTGAGAAATTTATATTTATTAAAGAAGTAAAGATAATAAATAAAAACAACAGATTTCGATCAATATTTCAAAATTTACATCACTGATCCCAACATTTTTTAGATTGTTTATATCTACTCTTTACTTGTGACTGATCAGGATTAAACTCGTAAAAAGTTTGATACAAGAAATATTGTATTGCCTGTTTAGATTTTTAATTCCCCAAATATGCTTCTTTTTTTAAGTGCAAAATTTTCGCACAATAATTCACGTGCATCATTTTGCAATATTTGTTCAATAACAAGAGGGCCAAGGGCCTTGAATCGCTCTTCTGATAAATTGTACAACCTATCACTTCTATTTGAAGCCTCTAACCCTAAGTTTCCTTAGACCCAAGTAGCCTACACTAACAAAGTTGAACGATTCTTAGGACAGAAGATATTTCAATAAAGCTATAAAAAACCACAAGTAGGTCACAATGACCTACTTTAAGATTGAAGTTTTCTGAGGACACAAGATGCAATAAAAGACAAAGATTGAAGATTCTAAGCCAATAAGTATGTGAGATATTCAAAAGTGTGTCACCTTGACCTACATTCTTTGAAAATCCAAGATGCATCAACTCACAAAGTTCGATCATTCTAAGCCAATACGTACCGGAGATCCTTAAATAAAGCCATAAAATGTCAAAAGTAGGTCACCGTGACTTACGTTTTGGTCGTCACTCTCCGAAAACCCAAGATGCATCAACTCACAAAGTTTGATCATTCTAAGCTTATAAATACCTAAGATACTTGAATAAAGCCATAAAATGTCAAAAGTAGGTCACCGTGACCTACTTTTTGGTCGTCACTCTCCAATTACTCAAGATACATCAACTCACAAATTTGATGATTCTTAGCCAATAAATACCTAAGATACTTGAATAAAGCCATAAAATGTCAAAAGTAGGTCATCATGACCTATATTTTAGTCGACATTTTTAAAAGACCCAAGACCAAGTTTGATGATCGTAGGTCTGAAGGTAATCAAAATATGCCTTTTAAACAATTTGAAAACATATGCCTGCAAAATTCAAAAAGAAGGTCACAGTTACCTACTTTTTCATAAATATGTTTTAAGATCCCAAGCTGTAGCAATTTACAAATTACAATTTACAAGATTTGATGATTCTTACCCTCTCAGTGTCTGAATTAATGGGATTAGATGTTTTAAAAAGGATAAGTCATAAAGTTCAAAAAGTAGGTCAAGGTGACCTATTTTAAGTTGACGTTGTTTAAAGACCCAAGACGCATCAACTAAGAAAGTTTGATGATCATAGGCCTTAAAGTGTCCAAAATATGCCTTCAAATCTATTTAAAAACAAATGCCTGAAAAATTAAAAAAGTAGATCACTGTGACCTACTTTTGAGTTAACGTGATGTGAAGTCCTAATATGCATCAACTTACAAGATTTGATTACCCTAGTCGTTATAGTAAGCAAAATATAAACTTTTTTATCAATAGTAAATTTAGGTCAATTTTGAAGTGACCTTGAGACCACGCCCTTGGTCCCAGGGTCATACCTTGAACAATGTTTAATCGTCGACATATCCTGATCCTTGTATGTAAGTTTGGTGAAATCTGCCTGGTGGTTCTGGAGATGAAGATTTTTTAGCAACCTATACTTTTGGTTTTGTTTTCCTGATTATCTCCCCTTGTTTAAGGTTCCAACCCCTGTTTTAGTATAAATGGTAGCCCTTGGGCCAAGGATACCCTTTGACAAATTTGACACTGATAGGCCAAGGGGTTCTTGAGTTATGGCCCATTTTCTAAAAAGTTAACGCACACCGCACAAATGGCCATAGCATTAGCTCTTTGAGCCTTTGACTCAGAAGAGCTAATAAATATTACTCAAACTATTTTACCTAAAATAAGATTTTAGTTTTAGCCATTGTTACATCTAATAGAATATGATAAAATTAAAGCGACCAATAAAAGAATTTAAATTTAAGTGCAAAAATGTCAACTTTATTGTACCTTAGCTGAATAAGATGCAAACTGAACCTAATATATTTTTCTGCGATTTTGAGTTATGCTATATGAGTACTTATCTAATATATACTTCTAAAAAATCCTTGATATAAGAAATTTCATGAGTGACATACCTTAAAAAAAGACTATATCTATAATTATGTAGCTGTCATCTATGGTTGTCCTTACAAACAATCAGAACGCTTTTCCTATTCTTCGTTACGATGTTATGAAATATGAATATCTCCCTATCTTTTCAAATTTTTTTAACCAAAGAATTCTAAATGACACAATTTATCTTCTTTATTACAATTTTATTTCCTTTCCGTTAGCGAGACTTAAGGTCCTCAACTCAATCAAATGTAGTTTTGAGCTAGGACATTTTTTTGGATTTACCAGGTAATTAGCTATGTATTTCTAGAGAAGAAAACGCAGGATTCAAAGTAATGTATTTTATGTAAGCAAAATAGTATTCCTATCAAATTATTCCACTGTACATAATAAACCAATTTTGATTAGAAACAACTCTTTCCCAAAATAAAAAAGAGATATTTTCTTTATTATATTTATTTCGTAGAATATTTAGGAAAATTACCTTTCTTTTAATCCAACTTACCTTTAATTTTTCATCTGTTTGTTCTGTATCTGCCTGTATTGCCTACACAAATATAGAATTATAGAAAAATATGAATAAAGTCGTTCTGTTCAAATAAATTCATTTCTACACTTTAATCTTGAACTTATTTATGCATCGGATAATTTTATCAGAATTTAACGTCATTTTTATTGTTTGTATAGCACTGATAGTATATAACAACTTTTATGGACATGAATATCTAACAACATTTTTAATTTCATCATATTTGAGAGATTAGAAATGAAAAACAATTGATATAATCCTTGATTCTGAAATTTGTAAATAAATGAAACAGTCATTACTTCAGCATAAGGACATGGTTTTTGGCATTCTGTACAGTTGAACTCTACACGCACACATTTCTTTTCTTCTGTATCTTTGAGAACAGTCAGTACATAACGAATAATAACCCCGTTTGGATTTAAGGGTTTTGACCACTTTACTGTTATTGAAGTGGATGATGAATTCACTGCTGTCAAATTGGTGACTTTTGAAGGAACTAAAATGAAGTCAATGGAATAAGGAAACAGTAATGAGATGATTATCATATTGATAAAACATATTAAGTACAGCTTCATTGATACCTGTTTCGGATGTATACACAGTTTTAGTTTCTTTCACCCCTTCGCCAGCATGGTTAACAGCACCAATAGATACATTGTAGCAAGATCCTGGAGAGAGTTAAGTTAAAAAATACACAAAACGTCTTTTCTACCCAAGTGTATTAGTATTTTTTACAAACAATCTTACCTGCAGACAAGTTTTCAAACGTGTGATTTCTTGTAGTAGAAGACACGTTTGTGGGATTGGATCCCGATGAATCAGTAATCATTATGCTATAGCTTAAAATATCGCCGTTTGGATTTTCAGGTTCATTCCAGGTAATCCCAAAACCGCCCGTCTTTATTTCAACTACAGTAAAATCTGAGACTTTTCCAGGACCTATAATCAAAATAATTGAAATTAAGAAAGATAAAAATGCATTACATAAACAATAAACTCTTTACACTCGATGCCATCAAGCTACATGTGTAAGGCAGCTACATTAAAGAATGGAGTCCCTTTCCAAAGGTCTGAATATATTTTCTATCTGGATTATAAACATTTTTCCAGTAGTAGCTCAAGTGTTTTGCTTCATGTTTTCTAAACAAAAGTTTATTATCATTTCAATCATCCAATTCAATTTCCTTCCGAAAGTACAAATACGAAATTAAAAAAATTATGACAAGTAAAAAAAAATATGTAATATATATTTTTTATAGATTCATAACCATGAAAAAAAATCTTTCAAAATTTAAGAATGCTTGAGATTTTTAAGCATGCAAATACAATTCATTTAAATATTTATGAACATAAGATGGTAATTGTTTTTAAATAATCCACCAAATTATTAAAATACTAGTAAATCCACACATCTTGATAAACTATAGTCGTCGAGGAGCAGTCATATTGTTGACAGATGCAATAACTTTACGGTGTGTCACTCGTCAGCTTTTGAGAAGAATTTGGTCAGAAACTCTGACTTCCTACTGTAAATTATTGATTCAACTGTTGACTTTTAAAGTTTAGTAAACAAAACTAAAAATCATGAGGGAACAAGATTCATAGGGCGCCATTTTTTGTGAACTCGGAATATCTAGAAGACAAGTTTTACAATCTACACATTTGTTAAATTGTGCACTTTAGTCCTACAAATGCAATATTTTTATTACTGTTTGTTCATTTATTTTTGCTTGTCAAAAAATTATGAGACTTAACAAATGTGAGATTTGATGCCCCCCCCCCTTTGAAAAAAAAATCTTGGATGTCTGTGCTAACATTATCCCCTATAACTTTTAAAAAATTATCTTAGTTTTCCTCACTAATAAATTAATACTATACTAATTCATTCCTACTATGGCTACATATTTTTGTCCCTGCACAAAGCCGTACTGAGGAATTGGAAAGATTTTATTTTTCTATTATTTCTGTTGCCATGGGAACAGGAATCCATAGCAACTAATGAAATAATCACCGGTTTCAGTTTGCAGATGCATTTCTGCATGACTGTCAAAAAATTTCAAGGTCATATTCCTGGCAAAACTATTTTTATGCATAAATAGAATGTCTATTGAAAAGGAAATTTATTGGCATTTTTGAACAAATATTGGGATTTTTGATAATCGAAAAAAATGATGTTTGGACAAAAATATTTTTCTAGAGTTTTGATATATCAAAAGGCACATTATAAATAACAAAATTCCGCTGGAATGATTTCTGTTGCAATTTGTTTGAGGTTTGGGTGTTTTTGAGCTAGATTGACTGGACTACAACTATATCACTAGTACTTTACTATAGAAGTATTTGTATCATTTATGAAATATTTCAATCAGACACTGAAGTAGAACTCTTCTAATTTGTTCGTTTTATTTTAAGATGCATGAGAGAAATTTAATAACCAATATCTTCTGGAGCATGAGGTGAAATGTTAATATATCATTATTATCGGGGTAGGTGGCTGAGGGACTTGCATTACTTTACATACCTCTTTCAATATTCGATGTTGGCCCGTTTTGCCATCTAAAAACTTTGATCAACATACTCACAAATGTATCACAGAGTATCTGCCTTCAGAATTTTTTTAATCCAATGCTATATCTTAATATTATGCAAATAAATGAAAAAATACTAACAAACTACCATGTAAATAAAATCATTCTTAATTTTGTAAATTTAGAAACTACTAGTAATACGTTAACCTCATAATTATAAAATTGCGTATCAAAATATACTGTTTTTATGTACATGAACAACATTAAAAGTCTTAATAAAGCAAAATCGATATTATATGAATTGAACACATACCTGGTTCTTTTGTTTTGATATCGGGATAATATAACGGATCGCTTCTCAATCCTCCAGAGATCGAAATAATCGTCACTGAACAGTGTGTTCCAGGGGGGAGATCACTGATTTGTGCCTCTGTATCCAATCCTGAGTGGGTGACCCTTGCAGTACAAGGACAGATACAATTGGCAGTCACTTTATAGGACCCGACCACTGCTGATGGAGGAGGATTCCAATGTATGGTAAAGCTATAGGTTCCTATAGTGATGTTAGTTATATTGCTGGGTGGAATGGGGCCTTATGAAAATGCACAAATATATAAATTTAAGATATTCTAAACAGATATTTTGGATTTACACAGTTCCTTTCAACAATTAGGTTTGAAAGCTTTCATCAGAATGCATGATTGGCGATTTTAATATATGATAACAATCATTTAGTTTTAGAATTCTGATTTCATTTGATTCCAGTTCTTCAATTTTTACACAAATTAAAAGACGCTTCATAAGCAGATCTAAGTAAAGGAAAATCAGAAATTAATAAAATCGCGTTAAGGTTTGTTTTTTATGTGGCTGATTAATAGGGAAAATTTGATTTCGTGTTTTGATTTGACTTTTTGTCTGAAAGATTTAATAAACATAAATCAATCAGTTTGCTCATCAAAATCTGGTCTTTATTTCGACATGATTTCTTGATATAGTCCTTGGAATTTTCTCAGAAAATTGGAATATTCCAATATATATACATGTATTATTCTACAAAGTGAAATTTTACTACTGTCCCTCTGTCTGTAACCTACCGTTCACAGTAGCTCAGTTGGTAGAGTGCTCGCTCCGTGATCGGGAGATCGTGAGTTCGTATCTCGGCCGCGACTGATCTCTTCGTTAAAATGGGTAGCAACTGTTCCTTCACCATGCGCTCGGCCATTTGAAGTGAAAGTTGCAGGTTCATCGGATGAGACCTTAAAAACTGAGGTCCCGTGTCATGGCAGAGATTGGCACGATAAATATCCATCACTGCTCAATGACCCTGAGTGCCAACTCAAGGTCAAAATTTGAAGCCCTTCACCTGCATACGGTGACGTCTCCGTATGAGTGAAAAATTCTCCAGAGGGACGCTAAACATAATTCAATCAATCAATCAACTAATCTGTCTTTAACAATGCATGCCTATAATTTTTATTGTTGCTGTAGAAATTTATATTTCATATCTTAATTCCTTTTCACTGGACCGATCTAAGATATGAACATTTAAATGCATGTTTCTTGAGATTAGAACAAAAAACTTTAGACCTTTCTCTCTTGACCTTCCAATCTTCACCGTGGAGTTTGATTTACTAATCAAAAAATCAATTCTTACTCAAAACATTTGAAAAAAAATGATGCTAGGTCTTTTTTTGTTTTATATACATTTTCGTTACATGACAGATAATGAGTACAACATTTTTATTTTGTTTGTCTTTATATCGAAACACTGATATGTTATTCTCAAGGTCTTTGCAATTTAGATTTTTAAATGCCATTTAAGAAATATAATAGAGAGGTTTCGCAAGCTCACTTGTACGTGTACATGTACGTGTAAACTACAAGTTAGAATTACACGTACACGTTAACATTTTTTTCTTGTTTAGCAAAGTATAACTTGTACTTGTACTTGTAAGTTTTTAAATGTAAAAGTGGTTTGCATTTAAAAATCATCCGCAAAAGCAATAATTTAAATACGTATATCACCGTTCTACATAAATATATGCATGTACTTATGAGAAAAAGATTGTACAGAGTTCTTATATTTTTAATCGGTCAAAGTCTTTTTCGAAAATCTAGATGTTGTAATTTTAACTCCCTATAAATTAATATTTTTCAATTACTGACGTTCAGTTCTTATATCAGTATTTGCATTAAATATTCAGGTTTCAGAAAAATGCACACTATTTGAAAAATAAACAGCAGTTAAAGAATTATAAGCTACAAGTTTTAACTTACGTGTACTTGGCAATGTACACGTAATTTGCATAAGAAGATACGTGTAGAAATTCGTCATTAGCAAAAGTGATGACGTAATGCACAGATTTCTGGTGCTACACGTACACGTACGCGTACACGTTGGTTTGCTAAACCTCTCTAATATTGCGAAAATGAAATATATATTTCTGCCAAAAAAAAAAAAAAAATAAAAATAAAAAAAAAATAAAAAAAAAAAAATAAAAAAATAAAGGTACATCATACGTTTAGCGTTAAACATTTTTATATTTAAAATGGAATATTAATAGAATTGAAAATTTAAATAAACTTATTAAATACTTACGTGTATATTTTGAGACAATGCAACATCTGGAGCTTTTTAAATGATTTTCACTGATAGCACAGATGGAAAACTTATATTGTTTCCCAGGTGTTAGATCGGTGAATTGTTTTCTAAAAGAATTTGATTCGTTCCACGTCGCATTAAGCCTCGATTTGGTATCATTGTATTCAGCAAAATAATTCTTGGCACGATTGGTATGGACTTTTGCCAAATCGATTCCTAAGGCTGTAGTTGTCAGGTTATATACTATGACATTCTTACACACGGGATCGCTCGGTCCTTAACATGAAAAAAAAACAAGAATTGAGCAATTAAGCAGGTTAGGGGGAAACGTAAATTCCGCTATAATAGTGGTATCTCACTATTATAGTGAAATTACGCTATATTTCCTGCCATGGATACCCTCAATTTCATCCGATACCATAAAAGGTGTTTGAACCGCAAGTCATGGTGGGTATTAAAATGATCAAAAACTGTCATGCTTGCATGTTTTGAATTTTAATAAATTTTCTACCGTTGCTTTTAAAAATGCGAGCACTCTTTTTTTAACGGAAGTTGCACTTTTTACATAGCAACCGATGATTACAGGGTATTTAAGCCTGTTTGAATCTCATCTATTCCTCTTTAATGTGCACAAATTGATGCTTGTTACAATTGTCAACTCGGATTGGAAAGGGTTTATGGAATTAAACAAGGAAAAAAGATTATTCCTGTCTGCATGGTTACGGGTATGGAGGCTCGTTATGGTAAACGTAAAGACCCAATATGGCAAACATAAAAAAGAGTATAATGATAAGCTCGATTATATTCCCTTCACAAAATCAATCTATAATAAATAATCCAAAAATTACTTATAAGAACGATAGTAGAAAACATATATATATAATATTTAATTTCGGCTGGTTAATTGTTTACTTCTGAAAAAAGACCAAATTTACTTTGGTGTCGGGAGTATTTTACAAGAGTGCCTGTAACCTTATTTTAACACATGTTTAAATAATTATTAATTGACAATCAACTCCGCACAAACGTATCTAATTTATTAACGCTTTATGTTTATGCACTTAGGCAAGAACGATTTAACTTTAAAATATGAGAGAAATAGCTATATTTTTTTTCTTGTTATTATATATAAATCTAATTATATTCATATAAAATTAAATTATATCGCAAAAAATCGCACTAAAAGTATTAATTTTTCAGACTTCTAGATTTATACCAAAGTGTTGTTTAAACTGCAAGGAAACATCAAATAACCAATCGCCACTGCTCAATACTATATTCAGCAAAAAGTGTCTAAAATATATTGACTCAATTCAAATTTTCAACAATTGAAAATTGATGCAAAGCATCAAATCGGTCGCAAACAATTTAGCATTTGTTAAAAAAAAGTTCTTTCACAATTTTGAAAGCATATCCATGCAATGGAAACACAAGATAGTCAAAGCTGAACTAGAATCTTTAGAAGCGTATATTTTCATCTTCAATAAAATCTTAATATTATTCATCATTGACTATATTACATCGATGAGTCCATATGATGAGCAAATGCATTAAAATCTCTATTTACTTATTTTTTCAATTATTCATTTATATTGCTTTGAAGGCAGTCAAAAATTAAAAAGACCGAACCACTAGCAGGTACCCTGGATCTTTATCACGTGATAATGCCCTTGGTTTCTGCAGAATAGGCTATGCTGCAAGGCGCTTTGCAAAATGTAGAAACAAAAGTATCATTGTATCATTCGCAGCTGTAACATATTCAAAACAATTTTTACTAGCTGAAGAGTTTTTCAATTTTTTTAACCATGCACTATGAACCACGTCATTACTATCCCGAAAATCATAATTTCCATTTATATCCATATAGTACCTTTTGTAAACTCTTTTATGTAGTCAAAAATTATTATCAAATATCTTGATGAGAAATGACATGATAGAAATTGAAACATTATAACAACGATTGATATTAGGTTTAAAACAAATTTTACTTATGATTTTCGACATGTTATCAATGAAGAATTATTTTACTGACCTATTAAAAAAAAATAACTTCTCATTTCCCATGTGCACTATCTAACACAACCACAAGAAGGTCGGCCGCAGCAGCGGCGACCGATAATAATGGGTTTTTACGTTTACAATAACGTGCCTCCATACCCGTAACCATGCAGACAGAAATTGCCTTTTTCTTGTTTAATTCCATAAACCCTATCCAGTCCGAGTTGACAATTGTAACAAACATCAATTTGTGCATATTAAAGAGGAATAGGTGAGATTCAAACAGGCTTAAATACCCTGTAATCATCGGTTGCTATGTAAAAAGTGCAACTTCCGTTAAAAAAAAGTGTGCTCGCATTTTTAAAAGCAACGGTAGAAAATTTATTAAAATTCAAAACATGTAAGTATGACAGTTTTTGATCATTTTAATACCCACCATGACTTGCGGTTCAAACACTTTGCATGGTATCGGATGAAATTGAGAGTATCCATGGCAGGAAATATAGCGTAATTTCACTATAATAGTGAGATACCACTATTATAGCGGAATTTACGTTTCCCCCCAACCTGTTAAGCATACCATTTTTCGCATTTTAAACATCTCTATGTTACCCTTATGATACCCAGTTGTAAATGTTGGTAAGTTGCAGGCTATCTGACTTGTTAGGTTTTCTTTTCCAATTGCTTCCACTTTTGCTGTATACGACATACCAGGTAAAAGATCAGTAAACTGGTATAAGGGATCGGTAGATTGAAGAAGGGGTTTCTTGTTCAATATTATTTTATATTGAACAGCTCCTGCGGTATTCATATTACTGACGTCAATTTTTATACTGTTATTATTTGAACTATAGATGGCGTCTGAACAGTTTGGATTGCTTGGCCCTGAAATTGCAAATACAATTTTAAAGAATAAAGATCCGCAGCTTAGAGAATTGAAGCAGGTATGTGTATTTTTGTATATTTATTTTAAGACCAGAGAATCATTTCTATTCACGGTCTTATTATATGTAAAAGAAACTTGCATCATCAACAAGTAATTTTTTCGAGACTGCGATGCTTTGGAATGCCATTTCTTTTCACCTTATTTGATTATTCCTGATAGCAAACCAGAGAGCTAGAATTTTTCAATTATGAATAGAAAAAATAATCGCCAAAAATGAAAACACATTACAACTGATAGCACAGATCGAAAAATTATATTGTTTTCCAAGTGTAAGGTCAGTGATCGTTTTTCTAAAGGAATTTATTTTGTTCCACGTCGCAGTTAGCCTCCTTTTCATATTATCGTATTCTGCAACATAATAAATGGCACCATAAGTATAGACATTTTCCAAACTGATTCCTAACGCTGTAGTTGCTCTGTTAAATACTGTTACGTTCTTACAAACTGGATCGCTCGGTTCTTAACGTGAAAAATATTCAAGAATTAAAAACGAAGCATATAAGCATATAATTATTAGCATTTTAAACATCACTAATGTACCCTTATAATACTCACTTGTAAATGTAGATAAGTTGCAGGCTATCTGACTCGTCAGATTTTCTTTTCCAATTGCTTCCACTTTTGCTGTATACGACATACCAGGTAAAAGATCAGTAAACTGGTATATGGGATCGGTAGATTGAAGAAGAGATTTCTTGTTCAGTGTTATTTTATATTGAACAGCTCCTGCGGTATTCATATTACTGACGTCAATTTTTATACTGTTATTATTTGAACTATAGATGGCGTCTGAACAGTTTGGATTGCTTGGCCCTGAAATTGCAAATACAATTTTAAAGAATAAAGATCCGCAGCTTAGAGAATTGAAGCAGGTATGTGTATTTTTGTATGTTTATTTTAAGACCAGAGAATCATTTCTATTCACGGTCTTATTATATGTAAAAGAGACTTGCACCATCAACAAGTAATTTTTTCGAGACTGCAATGCTTTGGAATGCCAAAAATTAAAACACATTACAACTGATAGCACAGATCGAAAAATTATATTGTTTTCCAGGTGTAAGGTCAGTGATCTTTTTTCTAAAGGAATTTATTTTGTTCCACGTCGCAGTTAGCCTCCTTTTCATATTATCGTATTCTGCAACATAATAAATGACACCATAAGTATAGACATTTTCCAAACTGATTCCTAACGCTGTAGTTGCTCTGTTAAATACTGTTACGTTCTTACAAACTGGATCGCTCGGTTCTTAACGTGAAAAATATTCAAGAATTAAAAAAGAAGCATATAAGCATATAATTATTAGCATTTTAAACATCACTAATGTACCCTTATAATACTCACTTGTAAATGTAGGTAAGTTGCAGGCTATCTGACTCGTCAGATTTTCTTTTCCAATTGCTTCTACGGTTGCTGTATACTCCTGACCAGGTGAAAGATCAGTAAACAGGAATATTGCATCGGTAGATTGAAGAAGAGGTTTGTTGATAAGGGTTATTCTATATTGAATAGCTCCTGTTGTATTCATATTGCTGACGTTAATTTTTATACTGCTATCATTTGAACTATAGATGGCGTCTGAACATATTGGATTGCTTAACCCTGAAATTGCAAATACAATTTTAAAGAATTCAGATCCTTATGCCTATTTTGACGCAAAAGAACATTTATTATGACCTTTTTGCACCAAAATGTGTGTCTTAAATCAATATCAATATCAATGTCAATATATCTATCCAAATAAAGCATGGAAAAAATAAAGTATTAGTCTATTTTAAAAAAGACTGTTATGGGTCAGAATAACCCTAAATGCCAGCAAAGATCAATCACACAGTTTAAACTTAATAATTTATTTACAGTAATATATAATAAGTATATGAAACATAAAGTACAAACTTAGCAAGAATCTAAAAATACATACATCAGAGTGTCCGTTGCTGCACACAATGTCCCAGTGAAAATATATCCCATTTATATCTCAATAGTGCTTATACGACAAAGTATCTCTGCATCGAATTGACAGGGTATTTATACAGTAATATAAATCTAGAATATTCTAGAAATTGTAAATACATGATATTAGTGGAAAGTTCTGGACATGCACAAAGTTCAAGAATGTTCTAGAAAAATGACCGAACATGTTGACCACTCTGGAATGTTCAAGAAACTTAATGTTACTAATAATATACATGATGAAATAATACAAATACAACACACCTCACAACACCTCCCCCCTTAAAAAGTTTGAATGTCAATGAAAACTTATATTGTTAAAATGAAATATATGTACATTAATACAAAATCATATATGTTCACGATACTCTGGACAAGGCATCTGCAATAACATTGTCTTTGCCTTTGATATGCTTAATTGTTATGTTGTATTCTTGTAACAACAAACTCCATCTAGTCAGTCTTTGATTTTTGTTTGACAATTTATGCAAAAATGTCAGGGGGTTGTGATCAGTATACACAAGAATTGGATGCAATGTAACATTCAGATAAACATCAAAATGCTGTAAGGCTAACAACAAAGCAAGGCATTCCTTTTCAATGGTGGAATACTTTTGTTGACATTTTGTAAGTTTCTTTGAAAAATAAGAAACAACTCTATCTACATTATCACTATGTTCTTGAAACAAAGCTGCCCCGATTCCAACATCACTAGCATCAACAGTAAGCTTAAATTGCTTAGAAAAATCTGGAGTTGACAGAACTGGGTTGCTCATAAGGACAGATTTGATTTTATGAAAGGATTTTTCACAGTCCTTTGTCCATTCAAACTTAACCCTCTTCTGCAAAAGATTTGTAAGTGGACTAACTACTGAGGAAAAATTTGGACAAAATTTTCTGTAAAACCCAGCCATGCCCAAAAACCTCATTAACTCTTTCTTGTTTGTAGGAATCGGGAACTTTGCAATAGCTTCCACTTTAGCCATAATGGGTGTAACATAACCTTGACCTACTTTATGACCTAAATACTCTACATAGGCATGACAAAATTTGCTCTTCTCAAGGTTCACAGTTAAGCTTGCTTTAGCTAAAATGTCAAATAAAGCACGCATGATTCGGAGATGTTCGTCCCATGTGTCGCTGTATATGACGACATCATCAATGTAGGCCTCGCATCCCTCAAGGTCTTGAAGAAGGGAGTGAATCATCCTTTGGAATGTAGCCGGTGCGTTTTTCATGCCAAAAGGCATTACTTTATACTGATAAAGTCCATCTGGTGTAGCAAAAGCAGATATTTCTTTTGCTCTTTCTGTTAACGGCACTTGCCAGTAGCCTTTCAACAGGTCAAATTTACTGACAAATTTGGCGTTTCCAATGCTGTCAATACAGTCATCAATTCTAGGTATTGGATATGAATCAGTTTTGGTAACAGAATTCACCTTTCTAAAGTCTGTACATAATCGGTACGAACCGTCCTGTTTTGGTACAAGAATACACGGTGAGCTCCAATCACTTTTACTAGGTTCAACAATGTCATTGTCCAACATGTACTGCACTTCCCTTCTTAGTTACTGCAATTTTATTGGATTGAGACGGTACGGATGTTGTTTGATAGGCAGAGCGTCGCCAACTATAACATCATGACAAGCTGCATTAGTTTTCTTTGGAACATCCGAGAAGATTTGATGGTACTCATTCATCAAGTTTTTAACTTGTTCTTTTTGGTGAATGTTCAAATGTCCAAGTTTGGCATCAAAATCAGCCAAAATTTCTGAGTTTTTCAAGCGGACACTCTGATTACAATCTTTCTCATTCATCTCTACACTCGTATCACTCTCAATACAATTTTGAACAGTCTTAGCGTTGGCTAAAGTGGAAACTGGTTTCACAGAATTTCGGTCACACCTTTCAAAATACTCTTTTAACATGTTAATGTTTTACGTCGACCTGGTGTCTTAACCACATAGTTTACATCACTGATCTTGCTTTCAATTTCATAAGGGCCATAAAATTTGGCCTGTAAAGGATGACCAGGAATAGGTAAAAATACAAGAACCTTATCACCTGGCTTAAACACCCTATTTCTGGCATCTTTGTCATACCACATTTTCATTTTCATCTGAGAACTCTTCAAATTTTCTTGTGCTAATTTACAAGCATTGTAAAGTTTTTCTTTGAAATCAGACACATAATCTAAAAGATTAAGATCACTAGTCTCAGTCAGCCACTTTTCCTTCAACAATTTCAAAGGACCTCTAACTGTATGTCCGAACACCAATTCAAAAGGACTGAACCCAAGAGACTCCTGGACTGCTTCTCGTGCAGCAAATAGCACAAGATGAACCCCTTCATCCCATTCTTTTTCATACTGGTAACAATAGGTCTTCAGCATTGTTTTTAGGGTTTGATGAAAACGTTCTAGCGCTCCCTGGGACTCAGGATGATAAGCAGTTGATCTATACTGCCTAATACCCAACTCATGCATGACTTGCTGGAACAACCCCGACATAAAATTTGAGCCTTGATCCGACTGAATTGCCTTGGGTGCTCCTACAAAACTGAAAAACTTGGTTAGGGCCTTAACTATGCTCTTTGCCTTTATATTCCTAAGAGGTATGGCTTCAGGAAACCGAGTGGATGTACACATAATGGTAAGTAAATACTGGTTTCCAGATCTTGTCCTAGGCAAAGGTCCTACACAATCCACCAACACTCGACTAAACGGTTCTTCAAAAGCTGGAATGGGTTGGAGAGGAGCAGATGGTATCTTCGGATTTGGTTTACCTACCATCTGACAGACATGGCATGACTTGCAAAACTTCGAAACATCCTTTCTTAGCTTAGGCCAATAAAAATGACTCAAAATCCTGTTATAAGTCTTATTGATACCTAAATGACCAGCCATAGGTGTATCGTGAGCTAAACTCATGACATCTCGACGATAAGCAGCTGGGACCACTATCTGGTGAACAACACGCCACACTTCATCTGGAGAAGCGTCAGGTGGTCGCCATTTTCGCATAAGGATGCCATCTTTCATATAGAAGCATTCTCCAACTTTAGTAGCCTCTTCTGGTGGAAGTGCCCTCTTACTAAGTTGAATGATATCTGGGTCTTTATGTTGTTCAGAGAGTAAACGTTCTCGGCTGAGGATGTCCTTGCCTTGGCTAACTAGTGGATGCAACTCATCATCCTCACCACCAAATTTTGGTAAAAGTTCTTTCTTCTCTTGCTTCTTCATATTGTGTGGTTCCATGCTTGTTTGAGCGCCATCAAGGTCAGATAAGAAAGTGTCATTCAAATCAATATCAACAGAGGAATTCGTCTCGTCAAAGACTTGAGTATGGTCTGCCTCCATTTCTCGTCTTCTGGCCATCGCTCTAGTAACAGCACAGGCTGGATAAATGTCATCATCTTCATCATCGCACATGACATCTGGAGTGATTTTCTCACAAACTATAGGATCTGGTACAACTTTTCCACCAGCTAAATCGTTGCCTAGCAACAAAGAAATGCCTGGAACGGGAAGAGTAGGTCGAACACCTACGATAACAGGTCCAGTAACTAAATCTGACTTCAAACTAATTCTATGTAGGGGAACATCAATGACGCCTAGCTCCACACCCTGTAATAAAACTGACCCACCAGTAGAAGTCTGCTCAGACAAAGGAAGCACGCCCTCTAACAATAACGTCTGTGCAGCACCAGTATCTCTCAAAATCTGGACAGGTTTTATTTCGCTAGAGTCACTGAGTGAAACAAATCCCTGAGACATAAAGGGTTTATAATCCTTCATAGAATCAATAGCACTGGACTGTGAACCCTGGACATCAGGAGTGTCAGAACAAATTGAAACTAAGGCTTCTCT